CTTTAAATATAAAAAACGTACTTACAGTCTGTGAGTCAGAACTGCCGGCATTGTAGTCTACTCTACCAGGATCAGGAAACAGTTCCCCATAAAATTTGTTTTGTATTAAGTTGATGTATTTCCCCAGCTACCAGCATGGATCAGCTAGGCATGACTAAGCGGATATCGTCCTCTTTTGGAAGACCAAACAAAGTAGTTTCGCTTTCACAACGAAAAACACAGCGTCTTCACGGCATGGCGTAACAATACTACAGCGAGAATAAAAGTTACGTCTTCTTTCTTTGCGTGAACATTTGGGTTGCGTTATGCAAATCTTCCCACATCGTGACGTAGACATGTGGGGGCGTGTTAGAACGAGCCGTTTTAGGTAGGCGATGGTTGACTCTTAACTTTTATAAAGAATATCTCTTTGGATTTGAGACTTTAGTCTTTGCAACTTTACAGATCTTCTTTATGCACCAAGAGCTTGTAACACTTCAAAGAGAAAGGAAAAATTAACAAAAATGTTTTAACCAGTTTTACTTTTATTTAACAAAAATAACCAGTTCGTGAGAATATAAAAATAATATCACTGGCATGTTTTCACATAGTTTAAGGACAAAATGTTTGTCAGAAGTTACCTAAATCTGACAAATGATTCATAAATAAAGTATACTATGTTTAATAACACTATTTAGAACCTTTTTTTAATAAAAAAAAGTAAGATTTTTTTTTGCATTAATAATAATCTGTAATAATTATAATTATCTGCATTTAAAAACAAAACAAAAAATGGTATACCTTCTACATTTAAAATACAATCTGCATTAATTAGTTGATTTACTCATTTAGTTAATTAGTTCATTTATTTTACTTTATTAAAGTAAAAAAAAAAAGAGAATAAACTACAAATTATGGAAGGACACAAAGATGCTGTTATATATATATATTGTAACGGGGTGAAGAATCACACGACAAGGAAATCTCAATCAATACCCCGGAGGGTGGATTTATTGGTGTGGTGGGTGATAGGGAGAAAGGTCCAGTTAGGTGCTCCGGTGCTGTGAGTGCTCTCTTCCGTCTTCCCAGTGCAGAGGGTCCGTGCAGTGCTCCTGTGGGGCTGGTCGGTCACACGCTGCTGTCTGTGGGAGAAATGAGAGGGCGAGTTAGTGCTCAGTCTCATGGAGAA